TTGAAAATGTGCGGTGAACAAAACAGCTGTACTGTAAACCTCTGAAAAAAACATACTTTACAATGCTAATTACGACAGATTAAACAACGAATGTCATCAGTGTGATGGTACAATGCACACAATACGAACTCCGGTTCCTACTCAAATATTTGCAGACATCTCCATTTTATTTTTTTTATTTTAATGAAATCTCATATAACTATTGAATTGACTTTACGAACCATCCTGAGGCTCACAAGAGCTTTCGCTTTCAGAAGCTCTGTCAGATATTTGAACTGTAATTTGCCCCCAGTGGCTCCCAGCTTGAGCTAGAGGAATGCTTTAAATGTAGCTTTTTAGGAGGTGGCAAGTCTGAAAAATCACTGCCTGCAGAGAGAATGCTAAACCCTGAGAGGGGCTGAGGACCTATCCTGCTCTACAGTTACAGCAGGAATAATAAGGACTCACACACCTTGAAGAAAACTTTTGATACAGATTGTCTCTGCTTCTCAAACACATGCACACAACTGCACTGCTGTGTGATTAAGCTGTCCTCTTCGGATGGCTAAGCACCTGGAGTGCTTTTGTCATTGAGTACATATGTGCATGACAAGTATAGGCTGCAACCACAAAGCCAAAGAAAATAAATTGATCATTTTGAGAACTTTCCAAGAGCTTCCCAGCTATTGGACAGGGAGTAACACAATTTAAACAATGATACATTGATTAATGCTAAATGATAGTATGCAAAACCATGGGTTTTCCATTAATACCAAATGAGTGCAGGATGATTTCTATAAAATAAAAGGCAATACTGATAGTAAAGCCTCCATGTGCTAATGACACTCAGTTATTTAAGGAAATTGGCTTTGCATGTTGCTTGGCATCAGGCAAAGAATATTCAATGGGCTGAATCCTGAGCTTGACCCTTTCACTATTGTTTTGTTTTAAGCAAAAATGTCTATTGGCTTTAATAAGAAGCTTTTAAAATAAAGGAAATCACCTCAAATGTGACCCTTGTGGGTATGTCTTATTGTCATGTTCAATACAGTTGGCTAAGCTCCTTGTATTTGTGACATCCTGCTTCCTGCTGGCTCTCACAATGTCATTCTCACTCTGCCAGATTTTCCCATGTTTCCTTAAGTGTCTGCTTGGACTGAGTTTCCCCAAATTCAAGAAAGATGATGAGGACTGCTCAGTACAGAAGGTGAAGCTGTGTTTTGCTACAGTCCCATTAATCCTTGAAGAAATTTGGAATCAGAAAGCAAGCTGGCCTGGGTTGTATTTCCAAGCTGGCTGTGAAAGCCACAAATTCACACATATCTTAGAGGCCAACCATTTTTCCCCCCCCTGAGGTAATGAGAAAACAATCCTTCATGCCACTCCTGCTGACTTTCCAGAAGTAAATGCCATAAGCCTTAACTCTCACCACCCTGAGAAAGTAAAACACTAAGGACAGCAGTGAAATTGTTAAAACAGACTGGTGTTTGCCAAATGGAGAAGGGTCACACAACTAGGTAAATAATGTTTATTTTAACACTTCCAAAGTCTGCTAAAGACAGTAGGGAATGAAAATAAATGTGAGAGGTACCATACCGAAGTAAGATGAGTTAACAAGCATCTTTAGAGTAGCAACACAATGGAGGCATTTTGGAGCTGTACATCTGAGTAAGTTCTGTACCAGCTGTTCTGACCACCCAGCTGATGGAGCACTTTGTGGACAGGAGGGTACACCCTGAGAAGTGGGGAGAAACCACAGTGTCCTTCATTTTGATGGATGTCAACATGCCTGTGCCAATAATACCATTGCAACTGTTCCTAGATTGCTCCCTACATTCACTAGATCTGGGTCAGCAGAAAATCAAGGATCATAAAGTAGACTTTGGACACAGGAAAGAGCCAAGCTCCCAAAGCTCTGCACAACATACAGAAACATATGCAAATAGCAATGTCTGAAGAATGTAACATTCTCATCTGACTTTATTCCTTTTCAAAATATTTTCTAGATTCTTCAAGAGATAAGCCTACATGTATTGCAAAAACTTCAAATCCCTTGCTCTGTATATTATATTTTTTCTTTTTTTCTGAACTGAAAAAAAGAGAGTTCATGAAAACAGAGAGTTTGCAAAGGCTGCCATCCTTATTCCTGGATTTCTTCCTGTTTATTGCTCTTTTGCAAGTGGCTGACTCAACAGACAACTGAGAAAAGACTAAATAAGTCTTCTCTGGGTGGCATTTTAAGCTGGAGTATTTTAAGAACTGCTATTATGTTGCAGCTGAATATTCCAGCAGACTGTCTGACCTCCTTCTGAATCAGAGTGCCACTAAGCTAAATATTTGCACTAATTCCAAGCATGACCCTAGAGATTCCGCACAGAGAAGAGCAATTTTATATGCAGGTGAACAATGGCTCTTTACTCCAGCATTTGATCTGTAAAAATGCAATCTTCAGCACAACACCAGGATTAATTATAGATCTAGCAAATTCCAGGTTATTTGGGATTTTTTAAAGTCATATTTCTGCATTCATAAACAGGTATATAACTGCACAGAGAACTCTCTTTGTCTAGAGGTCAATCCATCTGAAATTTTACAGAAATTCAGGACAAAAGAAGACATTTCATAGACTTCAAAAGATATATTTGAACCAAAGTTGCTGAGTTGCTGCAAATGATACCAATTGTTTGGTTTAGAATGTTTTGAAATTAAATGTTAGTACTTCAAACATACAAATAAGGTCAGTGAAAGACTTAACTGAGTCAGCAAGATTCCTCAGTCTTCCAGTATTTAGGGAAAAAAAAATAATAAAAAAATAATTGAAGCCTAGTTCTAAGAAAGGAGGGCTGAAGAGATTGCTTTGAGAAGAATCACAGCTATTTTAAAAGGATTGTTGAATGTAACCAATGCAGATCCCAATATGTACCTGCTGTATTTGAGGCAGCAGCAGGTAATGAAACTTCGCCCCATAACCCTGCCTCTCAGAGGCATCTGCTTTCTAAATCATTCCTACATCACATGCAGCCTAAAGAAGTGTTATCACAAGTCTCCTTAAAATGGTAGTTAGTAGGAAAGAAAAAGGACTTTTTCTAACTTGAAACTCAACAACAAAAAGTTGTTTTCCATTTATTTGGAAGAGAAGTGTGCTCTTGTGACAAGAAGATTGACTTAATAAAACACACCAACAGGAAAAAAATAATAAATTTATACCCCTTTCTATTTAAATAATTGTTTTTTTCACTAGCTCACTGACTGATCTTACAAAGCTTATTAACACCCTGAGTTTTCACAAGTATTCAGTAATATTTATTTATATTGTCTGTGCAGAATTGCAGGAATGGGGCCAATTTTTTTGAGACATGAAGCTGAAAATTGCAGATTCACATTGAACTCTTGGGAATGCAGAGGCTCAAAATCTTAACACAACGCTTTGGCTCCACTATAATTTACTCTCTAATTTCAGTCACAGTTAACACACACAAAGACATGTCTCTTGCCTACATAGATCGGAAGTTTCAAAATTAAGAGGATAGAAATCTTGGACTAAATGTCACAGTCACATTATGCCCATGTAAAATGGGCGAAATGCCTATGCGTTGTCTTCCTGTGGGATCTCGAGACCAACTATTTGAGCACTGTTCACTATGTCTGTCACTTTCCATGTATCAGGGGGTCTTCTCTTCAATCTTCCTTTGTGGAGGATGACAACTAAACCCTCAGGCCCTCCTGGGATGGGAATGGGCTGGAGGAAAAGCAAACACAGGGAAAGCAGGTGACTGATGGCAGGAGGGGAATGTGGCAGCAAAATGGACCAGCCATTTGTTTTGTCTGCAACAACCGTCAGTACGATGGCAACAGCCTGGATGGCAGAGGTTTTGCAGCTCTTTTGTCTCATGCGCTCAGAGTAAAGGCAGTGAAGATACAGAGGACTTAATTATTTCCTTCTTAAGCCCTGGGCACAATTCAGAGGTCAAACTCCCTAAATGTCTTCTCAGATGTAACAGCTAATGAAAGGTATCCTTGAAATAACAATGGCCAAGGGACCTGACCAACAGTGAAGTGTTGGATTCTTTAACCATTTCCTGCTGGTTTCTGCTTTTCTAAAAAGTGACTCTGATTTGGCAGAGGAAGGGAAGGGGGGAAAAGGAGGGCATAAAAAGAGCAACGGGAGAGGGGATTCGGGCTTGTGTTAGCTCATTCCCTGGTGGGAACTGGGGAGGGTGTGCTGCGATTTCAGCTGAACACGACTGCTTTAGGAGACGTTGTTAGAAGAGTCTGATGACTACAGAACCACACACTTTAAAGCCTCCGCCCCTCACTGCGGTGAGACCCCTCAGCACAGAGGCCTCGGCCCGCCGGGGGCGCTGCCAGCAGGGACTACAGCTCCCAAGGTGCCTTGCGAAGGCGCGTTGCTGCGGGCAGCGCGACCCGGGCCCCGCGGAGACCGAGCTCTCGCGAGAGCGCGGGCAGCCCCGGGCGGCCATGGCGGCG